CCTGTTGATTGTGAGCACAAATACTCGTCAAAGATACTGACAGAATTCCTAATTCACAAATCATTTGGTTGGGTCCTAATTGCTGAATGGTCTTCGAGCTCTCCTTGTAACCAGAAGGCCATGAGTTTGAAACCCAGTGCGCGCGTACAGAGAGAGAGTTACAAACTTGAATGAGGTAATTGTTCAGTACTCTCGGGTTTTCCAATAGTTCTCTAACCAATGTCACCTCATGATGAAATCCTGGAACCAACCAAATTCCTGTAAATCATCACTTGAAAATCAAAAGTTGAGCTTAATAAGAAAGTTAAGCCCAAAATGGGGGACGAAATGATGAAATCAGAAAATAAGGAGTAACTAGGGCAATTGAAGTCACAAGATAGATTAATTTTTGAACACATAAAACAGGTTTCAGTAATTTTATTCCTATAGCTTCAGCGTATCGAAGAAGACTTCAACTGTTCTGTCCGTTAACTTTCTTGGACGTTCACTAGGTCTCTACTCGGTAACCTATGTCTTTTGAGTGTTTAGAAAGAAGAGAACACAAAGTTCAGCAAAGATGTTGATCTTTTCGACGATTTCATTTTCAGAAGCTGTACAATCGCATCTAAATACATAATTTTACATGGATACAACTCTTGTTTGATTCTACATAATTACGACGGCGAATAAAAGGTGATAATTATTTTCAACTAGATATGGTTTTTACAAGAGGCTTAGAAACAAAATTACATAGGATTAGAACGGATAACAAGTATGGAAAAAGGAGCATGGAAACAAAATTGAAATAATAATTTTCTACTTGAGATGGGAGTTAGGAAGTGCGAAAATAGATTAAAAGAGCCTTAGAAACACAAAAATTCCACAGGATTAAGATATAATTATTAAATAGTTATTTTAAACGAATTATAAATGTGAACAGGAAAAGCATGGAAACGAACTTTAAAAAAATGCTTTGATAACTGAAAAAATTGGAGTGAATCGAATAAAGACTGAGGAAGTAAGAATCACACACACACACAGCGAACGAAAAAAGATCAAAAGGAAAAAGAGAACGAAAGAAGAGAAAAAACAGAAGCTAAGGGAACATACCGACTTAGGACCATGGTAGTTGTAGATGTTGAACTAATTTCTTTTGAACACAAAGCTCCGGCTTCTCGATGCATATTGCAAGGGCTTCTGAAGTACAGAGAAGTAGGAAACATACTGCTTTTGGTAGGTTTCTGTTGACTTTGTAAATTACTTTGAAAGAATCAGTTGAGATGTTGTGGGAGGTGTTGATCAAATGTTCAATAATGGCGCTTCTAATTGAACTGGCGCCTCTTCTTTGCAGCCACGCTGGGTAATGTTCTCTAACACGTTTTGAAAGGACTCGCATACAACGACCTATGTACCTAGCTCCACACGAGCAGGTGAACTGGTATATGCACATTGTATTGGTCATATGCGAGAGTTTATCCTTCGCGTTGTTTCGAAGTATTTGAAGGCTAGAGAATGTCACTCTTAGTGTTGCTGCAAGGGAAGGTCTTCTTTAAAGAGCTGGATATTCTTCTCTTCAGAATATCGGCTGCCAAATCTCCCCTGAAATTCAGATTCAGATACAGCTTTTATTTTGGTGCTGAATCGCATTCTTCTCTGTTTGGTTTAGGTTTCATGTTCTTTTCGACAAAACGTGTCGTTTAGCCATTTTGACCCAGGATATTTTTGAGGAATAGGAGCTCCTCTTCCATGCAATTGCTGCTGCAGATTTTCATAATGCGATGAGTTAGTGCGATGATGAGAGCTCGTTTTCGGCTCAAAGGCATCCAACTATCGAAATGCGTTAGTTGGCCATTCCATGTCGGTTTTCTGTGGATAGACCTCTTCAGGGTTCCATCATCTCTTCTTGTTAATTCTACGTCCAGATATGGAATCGTTGAATCGTTTTCTAATTCCATTGTGAATTTAATCGAAGGATGGGAATTATTGGCAGCCAGGGTATAAGATAAACTAAATTGTCTTGTTTAATTGGCTTCACAGGATCCCTTGACCGACAAAGCTTATTTCTAATTGAGTTTGCGTTTTGAATGCCACTTGTGTTCTTTTCAAGCATCCTGAAGTGGAAACTCCCATTATTTTCGTGATCCGGTGCTAAGACTAAGTTAAAGTTATTCAGTCTTTCAGTTCATAGTTTTCTAAGCAACTATGCGACGATTTGAAGTCAAGTCATTTATTTGTTTATTGATTGTAATTTCTATTCACTGATTTGCTTTCAGAGGACATTAGGGTTGATGTGAACCTACTTTGGCTGCCTTCTTAAAGTAATCAGCTCTAAATTTTATACTGTATAGCATTTCATAAATGGAATTAAGTGAACTTACAACTGAGCTAGTTTGATGACGGTTGGTTTTGGATTAAACTTCGACTTGATTGACATTTGAAAGATTTTTCTATATATACTGATGTGAAAATGTTTCTAAAAGCCAACTGTTTTTGTTATTGTTCATGATATGGGAATATTTAACAATGTCGAATAATCAACTTGTAACTGGAAGAATGCTGGGTATTGGTAGGGACGTAGAGAAGATGCGCTGTCCAAAAAAAAATTTATTAATTTTAATCAATACATAAAAGAAGTTGAAAAAGCGTAATACAGTTATGTAATAAGATGAGTGATTCCATATGGGCTTGTTTATTAGATATATCACACAGTGAGTGGAACAGTATTATTTACTGAATGACAAGGTTTCGACCAAAATTTATCAATGTTCATAATCATTTCATCAATTATAATCACATGACTTCGAAACTTGAATTTTATAGTCTTATTTAACCTCCAATTTGGCGTAAGGGTGGTAGAACTTTTCAGATATCTGGGAGAGGTTTTGAAACATTCCTATTACTTGTATTTGCAGTTGATTCGATAAACGAAGCTTCCGCTGTCATCAATCTCTCCCTCCCTACACCCTGTGACATGAGATTTTAAAACTGCCATCCTATCCCATCCTATCTTATGGTTAAGTGTAGCGCTATAGCTGAACTATTCTCTAGATTTCTTATCTTATTAGGGTCAGCTAATCTACATTTTGCTAAGTTTCTATGCTACGGTAGTCCGACTGGCCCCATTTTGCTACTTTAACCTATGTATTTGACCTGGCAGTCATTTCAGCAGGGTATTAGATAAACCAAATTGTTTTGTTTTGAAGGCTTCATTGTCAAGATCTTTTAATCAACAAATCTTGTTTTTAGTTGAATTTGTGGTTGGTTTGAATGCCAGCGAATTATATTTCTGCCTTGTTAAGAATTCTGCGTAAGGTGGTTTCCGAGTTTTCTTCCTTGTATGGAATTACTACTGATGAGTTAGATTCCTTATTGTTGGTATTGTCTTGAGCATGTCTGACATACATGTCATTATTATTATTGTTATCACTACTACTTATTTTCAATTTTACATTTTCCTACATTCTTTCTGACTAATTTATGAGGATAATTATTAAGTTTCAAAACTTCTCTTATATGACTCACTTCCTGTCTGCGATTTTCCTTGGTACTACCTAGTTGTGCTCTGCCACTTAAACATTTCTCCAGTCCCATTTTCAATGACATAGGATGGGATGATCGGTAGTCCAAATATCTGTTTGAATGTGTGGATTTCCTGTAAACACTAGTGTTTAACTTCCCATCTCCTTCCCTTTCTACGCTGCAATCTAACATTGGAATCTACCCTTCCTGACCCCACCTTTGAGTTATTGTGTTCGAAAAATCTATCTATATCCTGTGGTCTAAGTACAGTGCATGTGTCATCTACATACCTCCACCATACTTTTGGGGTGGAGCTGAACAATAAATTCTGTTCGAAACACTGTCATCCAGTAAATAATACTGTTTCACACAGTATGCGATACATCTAATAAACAAACCAATATGGAATTACTTACTACCACAGTGCCCAAGTTTTACGTGCGTCGGTGGCACAGTGGTTAGGACTCTCGCCCACCATGCACATGGTCCGGGGTTCGAGCCCACACCGGCGCACACCTGATATCTATGGTCGGCCTGCAAAATTTGGGCTACCGATATCCATGCTGAAAATTCCATACTTGTACCAAAAATACAGTGTGGAATCAAGCTGTAAATCAAAAAAATATATATATATTCATAAGAGGAGTGAGTTTTGATTAGGATGCACATAGAAACAAAGGAAAATATAAAATTATGTAAGAGTTCTAAAAATCGCAAGTGTTATAAGGAGTTAGAAAACAAACAAGCCAACATACATCAAGTCAGTAGAAGTCAATGCAGTTGTTCCCATGATAGTAGAAGTGGTTGGATGATTTCGTTTTGTATACATTACTCTAGTTTTTCTAACTGAATGACTAAGGATTTCATCATGAGCTGACATTAGTAAGAGAACCATTGGAAAACCTGTCAAGGAGTACTGGACACTTGTTTTGTCATAGTTTGGGACTCTTCAGCAGTGCGTACCCACCACCAGGGTTCTAATCCACGACCTTTCGGTTACAGGGCAAGCCGTCTCATATACCATTCAGCCAGTGAGAACCGGTTTAATGGTCAGCCCATGAATTTTAACTTATACCAATTCGTGATTTGGCGCAACTAGCAGCAACCAATGTCATCGGTTGATGTTATCCATCCTCACACTTGACGTCTAGATGGATCTCATTGGTCATGACTTCTCACTAGAATTCCAGGAAACTCCATCCTGTAGCAAGTCACTAGTGAGTATCAAGGTTTCTTTTTTTCAGTAATTATTTCACAATAAATTACAATGAAAAATTCTCATCTTTCATAAACAATTTTAAAGAAAAAATCTATTGTGTTCATTATTATTACTATTATCTATAGAGAAGCAAAAAATCCAGGCATGTCGTTTTTCACTATAAGTTTAAGAGTTGATTGGTCAGACTCTTTGCTTAAAGATACATTCTATTCTCATTGGCACATGTCTTTATTAATGCAAATAAAGTTATTCGAATCCTTTTCTTGTTTTCAACATCATCTATAACACTCTCAGTGGAAAACATCATAAAACAAGCATGTCTAGGAATGATAATTTGCAACTGATCTCAAAGTTACAACCTTTTATTTATATGTGAATTCAATTGTGAAGGTGAAATGGTATTTTACTCTTCAGGCGTAAATCTACAAGGATGAATCAGTCTCACTTGAGTGACAACAACACTGTCCTTGGAAATGTTCACAATTGGCAAAAATATCAAGTGGATGACTGTTATGTACTCTTCAGCAAAAATCCAGATTCATTTGTTTACAAAATCAATTCTCTAGCAAATCACACTTTACTATTCAGTCAGTCAAAATCTCTAGTGTCTATAATGACAACGTGCTTTTTAATTATATCTACTTTGGTCATATTCTTTGGAAACATGTTAGTTATTACAGCTGTGGCAACAACCAAACGATTGAGACGTGTTACTGATTTATACATTGTGTCTCTAGCTGTAGCTGATCTTCTTGTCTCTGTATTTATTCTACCATTGTCAATAGTTCGTCAAAGTTATGGATATTGGCCTTACGAATCTCATGGGTTATGTTTATACTTCCTTTCAGCCAATATACTTCTATGCTTATCATCAATTCTTAATTTGTGTTGTATATCTGTGGACCGGTATATTGCCATCGTTCATCCATTAAAGTATATTAGTAAGCGTACGCGTCAAACAGCACTCATGATGATTGCATTTGCTTGGATTACATCTTTTATATCTATGCTACCTCCAATACTTAGTAAACAACATCATACAGGTGTAGGAATGTGTTATATACGAAGCGATACACAATACAGAATTCTATCAGGAGTATTAGCATTTTGTATCCCTTTTCCGTTGGTTGGGTTTATCTACCTACAAATATTTTGGGTTATTCAGCATCGTTCAAAAGCGAGTAAAAGTTCAAAATTTCCATCTCGATTAAAAGAACATAGATATGGATCAGTGAGTATACTATTTGACTTAAATCACCTTGGACGTATTAAGAAGTGGTTTAGTACAGACGAATTCAAAAGAGACCGATTGTTTGTATTACATGGTCAAAAATCAAAGTCATGCACCGCATATATCAGAAATAACAGAAATAAAAATACAAATAATTCCAAACCTGGAATTAGCACAGAAAATGATATGTATTCAAGTGATGTATTTTGTCAAAGTCCGTCTTGTTCACATAATAATTACATCAGTTCCCCATCAACTGCAGACATTTCTCAGACAATGAAATCATGTCCAGAGCCAAAAGAAATAGTTCAAATATCCATGGTGCCTAAAAGATTCAGAATTGGTGCAAATCTTGTCTTTCCAAGGGAACAAGAAAATAAAAAAATTAAGGATGAAAACAAATCTTCACCTAGTGTTAGTAATACACAGATTGACAGTAAAACAAAAGATGATACTTGCATCACTGATCAATCAAGCAAAGAGAGTGAATATATTCAAACACAAAGATTCAAAGGAAGAAGTCGTATGGATTTAAAACTAGACAATTCAAGTATTCATATAAATTTAAATCGTAATAAACAAGAACGTCAGATATTCAAGAGAGAACAAAAAACTGCAAGATCAATATCAATAGTTGTAGGTTGTTTTATGATTTGTTGGTTTCCCTTCGCTTCTATCTATTTAGTCGAAGGTATATTTGAGTGTTTGTTATCAGAACAGGTTTATATGATTACTGGTTGGTTTGCTTATCTTAACAGTATGTGTAATCCATTTATATATGCTTTCTGTAATAAAGAATATGCTAATGCATTCAAAAGATTATTACATTTTAGAAAATATCAAATTTAGCCATAGAAATGTACATCTGTATGTACACTTTTTATTGTATGCCGTATGAAAAATATGCTGTCAAATATATGCACAACTTACTTACCTATTGTGGATCAATTATCGCATCATTGAATGGCATTTTTATTATTTTGCTTCTAACCATCATGATCTAGTGCACACGTGTCTAGGTAGGATAGATAAACACTGTCATCTTTACTGTGTATGATTTCCTGCATCACGATAAAAGATTATCATAATTTAACCTGTTTTCTTTCATTTTCTCTCTTTTTTTTAAAAAAAATTATTATGTGATGTAACATGACTTAACCAGGTAGCATTTTTACAGAAGAAGCGGATGCAATATGATGTTCGAAACAACCAGCAACTATGTGTGTCTTTCACTAGTTTTTCTCTTATTCAGTCATCGATAAAAAAAAATAGCGTACGCTTCATTATTCTTTTCACCATAATCACATACTTCTGGGCATATTTTACATTGAAAATCATCATTTTCATATTTGGTTTTTTCTTTCATATGCTTTGTGTATATATGCTAGAAACTCTTGTAGAAGAATACTGTTTTCCGCTTGTAATGAAAGCTTTTTGAATTTCCTTTTTAGTCGTTGCTGTTTTGAACAGGCTTTGAGGGCTTTTGTTTTATATTATGCCATGCATTTATATAAAGTACTAGTTCAGAGGTGCAGCTAAGATGATATAAGATCATGTGTATTTCATCTGCCAGTCACTGTAAACTGTAATCAAGCAAGCATCTGAGATGAAAGTTGAAGGTCATTCTCTTATATTTAGATAGAATCTTGACTAGCTGTAGTGCATCCACAGAGAGCATTTCTTTCGGAATGTATGTTCCACACCAAAAAAAATGTTATTTTACCCCAAAATATTATCAAGCCTGACGGTTTTTACGGTATCTTCATTGCTTAGGCTAATTTGCAAATAATATTTTATCAATTTAAACGTCAGAGGTGTACACAATGATACCGCCTCGTAGAATTCCTTAAAAATAGGCAGTCACATTTCATTATATATATATATATATATATATATATAACTCTGTGATTATCACTTGACTGAAACATCTTACAATAAAAATTTATCTTTAGGCATTTATCAGTTATTAAGAAAATAAGTGATGGCCTGGAAAAAGGATACAAAAGTATTGAGTCAGTAGTACCTTTCTTTTCTGCAAGTATTGAGGCTTAAAGAGTTATCTGTCCAACGTGTAAATAAACCCACTCAAATAAAACAAACCGGTGAAAAAAAGACTGAATAACAGTTATTTGTCGTCATTTCTTTTTTTTAAAATTTACTTTACCTTTTGCGTTGAAATCGGATCGAAAAAAATGTGTATCCTATAATGAATTTTTCAACCATTTATGATAGACCGATAATTAATTAAAGTTGACAGTCAATACACCATTGTATCTTTCTCTATTTCAAGAACCCTTTCTACTTCATTTCATTCAAACACTGTTCTTCATCTTACTACAATGCTTTCATAATCATATTCTTAAAGAGTTATTCTATTATAAAATCTCAAAATTATTTGTTGTCTTCTAATGTCCAATGTGAAGTTACATTGAAGGCGAATGTTAACATTACAAAGGCTCCAAATTAATCCTTAGTTGAGAGGTAAGAGAATTAATTTAATTTAGTTGTTGTAGTCACAGCAAAGACATGAAATTATCAAGAAATGAAGTAATTATTTTGCCAGTTATATTACATTTTACATTCAAGCTAATTTGTAATCCATATTATGCTTATTTTTTTCCAATGACCTGAAACGAAAGAATTGAAAAATAATTTTTTGCATTAGTGTCAATCTGCTTAAATAAAACCAGCGTTTAGACGTCAGGCAAAGTTGGATAAGACTGTTGGTTAATCATTTTATTCTTATGAATGACCCAAGAAGGCCACACAATACTTCTGTGTTCCGTCTGCTAAACTTTGAGTTTTTTGTAAAACCAAACAGGGTAGTAACTTACTTGGGTTTAGTTGCCTTTTCCGGTTGCATTGCCTATTTGACTGTACTCAACACAAGAAAGCAGCATTCTCAGGAGCTAATAACAGACACGAATCACTTGACTAAACCGAAGTCTAATTGGGATTGACCTTTAAGATGCCGTTTTACAACCCGATATTGTACTTCACTCCTAATGATATTGCCAAGACAAGTGATTTTACAAGTAGTTTCTTTCAGATGGGTGACGACAGGGTTAAGACTGCTGAGGCTGAATCATGCTTCGAAGAATTCGAATCACAGTTTGCAAAGTTTTGTCACTGTACTCTACCGAACGATGTTCACAGTCAGTGTTTTATGTATGGAACTGGGAATTATTCCCATCCTTTTATTGAAAGATATTTGCGTCGTACTGTGGATGAACAGCTTAGTGATCTTACACTTGAAAGTGAATGCAATCGGACGCGCACAGCTCGTGATCCACAGAACAGTAACTTCGACAGAAACTCAATTTCTATTTTCCATCGGCTTGGAAGATTTGATTCACGTAGAGCTCAAGACTCTGTAACACAGTCTTCAAATAATTTATTGAAGACCGTCTAGTGGCACAGTGGTTAGGACTCTCGCCCACCATGCACATGGTCCGGGGTTCGGTCCCCTGCCGGCACACACCTGATATCTATGGTCGGCCTGCTAAATTTGGGCTACCGATATCCATGCTGAAAATTCCATATTTGTACCAAAAATACAGTGTGGAATCAAGCTGTAAATCAAAAATTAAAAAAAATTAATACCTTAAAATATATTTACCAAAAGTCGTGGTGAAAAGAGCACGTTTACTGATAAATCAGTCATAGATGTGAGCTAGAACTGAAAATGCTACTCTTAAAGAAAGAAAAAAAAACAAACATAGAAATTATTTCATTAGAACTTAGACACACAAACATGTAGGAATCAAGGCATTTTCTGAAATCACTCAATGTATAGAAATCTAAATAAAATAAATTAAAAAAAGTAGCGCTGATTCACAGTGAATACGTTTGCGAAAATTCGGGTAAGAAAAGTGAAAATCCTTAAGAAATTAATGTGGATAGAATTTAGAATTTAAGCGAAACAAATAATCCAACGGATATATAAGTTGTACAGTAGAGTGACAACTCATATCCTACGCCACAAATGACATTAAAACGCTATTCAGTTACGCAAGACATCAAAATTACACTGAAATTACAACTGCCTCAAAACAATCCTAAGTAGAAAGAAAAACTGGAAGACACGAACTGCATATCTGTAGAAAGATCAAAAATATCCGAGGGAACATTGCCAAAGCTTCATTCGGAGAGATAAGCCGAAATTCCTCCTCCACAGCAATAAGCAAAATTAAATAAACCATCACATCAACTTAAAATCTCATGCTCATATACACCTTCGATAATCCAATCTACAGGTTTATATACATATAAATATACACATATTTATACCACATCCATTTCTATCAGTCACGTCACAAAATATTGGGCAAATTGACTTCCCATTACGGAATAAAATACCCACCGAAAGAAATAACGCTAACGTAGAAACGATTGAATTATAACATTGTCAAACACAAGTACAAAAAATCGATCTAGAAACACCAGGTTCGTATATAGCTGGGAGAACAAAGGGGAATTCTAAGAAGAGATTTAGAAAACATTCAGGTAATGAATCACTAAAAGCGTAGTCGATCTTCAGCAGTCTTCAGCAGTAACTCACATCCAGTTCACTTATAAATGCATCACTGCTTTGCAATCATTTTACAACTAGGTGTCGAGTATTCCAGAAGCATCCACATAGTAACTACTTAGGACAATCTATCCCAATGGCCAGAACACAAGTTTATAAGAATACTTCACGAATCATCCATCAAGAGGAATACACCAAGTGAAATTTGGAGTTAGAAGATATCAGTAGAGTAGGAAAAATAAGCAGAATATATACCGTTGAACAATCACACACAGTCGGTGTGTTAGAAATATGTGTGAGTGTATAATGGCTGGGAGCGATTATATTAACAGTTGAATAATTGTAGAGAGGGTAAGAACCGGAACGCTAAGTCTGAAAGTCGTGGAGATTCATCTGTGTGAATAAAGGTAAGGAGTCGTTTTCAAAGTATTCTTCAGTGTGCTTTAGTAAACAATACTTCGTTGATATGAAACTCATTAAAATATGATGTAAAATTCGGTAAGCAACATATGTAATTTCCGTTCTGTTCTGAATAATGTTAAAGCGTAAACACAACAATAATAACAATAATAATAATGATGATAACAATAACAAGAAGAATATCAGTCGAAAACAGGATGCATTATTATGTGGTGAGTTAAATAACTCTTAGAAGGGTGGGCTAGTATTAATCACAGCCTCCTTTTGTATGTGATGGTTGGACTGAATTCGGTTCACAACAATCAATTCCATAAAACGAAATCAAGTGCGAAACCATCGTTGCTTCACATTGGTATTCCACTTGAGCGATGAACTTGTAATGACGAAATCTCATTCACCGGCTTCCTCAATGTATGTGTCATCAATCTCAAGTTTCTCCTAAATATTTGTTGAGCGATAGACTCTCGGTTGCTTTGTTTTCTGAGTTTATTGTTACGAATTCTTTTTTGCCATCTGGTCGTCAGTATGAAGCTGGTGAAGGCAGTTGTTGGTGAAAGTCTCTAGTTGACCTATTGGATATCCTTTTCTTGACACACAGTGCTAGATTCTGACTCCTATAGAAGAACCAACTTCATATTGGTGTTGAAATTTCGAATCTTGTTCGTTATACTGAAATCAGTGCAGAATATTTCCAAACTGGTTTCAGGTTGATGAAAGCGTATCTTGCCTTTCCGATTCTGACCTGCTTTGATAAGTTTATCCGTTATAACCTGTAATTGAAACGATACTTCCTAGATAATTGAAGAAAATAAACACTTAAGATTTCTCCATTGATGGTGACTGACGCTGGTTGTTGTTGTAGCTGATGGTTGGTTGGTTGGTTGTTTGTCTTCATCGTCTCCATCTTCTTTATGTTCACCTGCAGTCCTGTCTCTACTGCCTGCCTCCTCTGCTAGTTTGTTGGTTTTCGTCGACAAGTCTTCAAGTTTGTGTGACGCTAAACATAAATCATCCACGCGCAAAATCCAGATCTTCTAGATAATTCTTGTCCGTCCAGAGGATTTCTGTCTTCTTGCTACCAACTCACAGTCTGACGCATAATCAAGTTCACCAAAATTAGAACTATCATCAATGATAATAGGCAGCCAGCTTGTCTTACTTCTGTATTCAATTCGAACGCCTCTCTGAGTTTTCCGTTGTGGATCACCTGACACGCGGCTCTGTCATTTAGTCAGCTGTTGAATGAGGTTGACAAACACGATGTACGCTCAGTGTTGAGGTAGTTTTCAAATTACTTCTCGGTCTACGCTGTCTGTCGAGAGTCTTCTCGAAGTCGATCAAGTTAAGGTAGGGAGGAATTTGACTGCCATTGTATGCTTTGTAATCTGATGATGATGCGTACAGTTGCTATTTGATCAGCATATGACGCCTTTCCTAAATTCAGTCAGCTTGTTCCGGTGAGGTGTGGACTTCTGCATTTAGTGCATATTTCATTTCCTCCAGGATGATGCGAGTCAGTATTTTACTTGGCGTCGACAAGAGTATCATTATACACCAGTTCTTCTAGAGGTTTATTCATATAACGCAGACGAAGGACTAGCAGGGACGTAGTAGTGGAACGAAAATTTCTGGAGTGTTTCTCTGAAGACTGCATATAATTCTTCCTAATAATAAAGTTTATAACATTAAACTCAGTAAACATATCTACCGAGATCCAGCTGTTCAGAAAATATCTGAGAGTCTAGGGAAATTGATTTATCACGCGCTGTGGAAATGGTCGAATGACGTCGCGCGTTAGGTCATCGCTGGAGCAGAGTCCCGAATGGGAAACGTCTAGTTGGATATTGGACCGGGGCTGACATGGAGGAGATCTTATGAGGACGAAATAAGATCCTCTGGGTAATCGTGA